GATTAAAGAGCAAGAAGACTCTGAATCAGGTGATTCAGTGGAGGCTGGAGCAGGATCTGCGGCTGGAGCAGACTTCACTGCTTAGGATATGTCGTTCTCAAACGACATGTTTTGCTCTGCCGGAGCATATCAGAGGTATTTCGTGTTTAAAAACCGTGGGATTATTGTTGAGAAGCTTGTCGATTTTGAAAACCAAAAAGATTGTGAGTATACTTCTGTGATTACTGATGCCTTGTTTACTCCCACGGTCTCAATTAAGTCGGGTTATGATAGGGAAGTAGTCAATGAATTTTATGCTAATCTGGGTGATACCGTGTTAGTTGATGGAGGAGTTCTTGTCTTAGTCAGAGGTCACATTGTGAGGTTCAGTCCTGCTCGCATCAACAAGTTCTTGAATCTGTCTGAGTTGAGTTCCAAAGAGAAGAAAGAGGCTGCAGCACTTGACAAAGTGGAGCCTGATTTCATTGCCAATTACCTCATAGGTGATGAGACTCAGGAGGCTGTTGTTCAGACCACAAGAAAGCGTCACAAGAAGGCACCAGCCTTGTCTACGATTCATCTCTCTCCAAATTTTTCTGCATTGGTTATTTTGGCTGGGTACAACTAGTATCCGACGACTCATCGGACACACATTGCTCAGTACAGAGCCCTGCTTCTCTACAAATTGGCTCACAAGGTTCGCGTAGATTTTGGAGCAATGGTGTTTCAGCAAGTTATGGCTATAAGCAAGATTGAGAAAGAGGATAATAAGCAGCCTGATGCAAGGAAGTTGGTGTTTCCACACCTGATTGCTGGGATGATTCAAGAATAGTGTGGTGCAGTGACTGGTGAGGATGATGTTGTGGTTCTTCCTTCGTATTACCAGATGGACATCAGGACTGAGAAGAAGGAAACAGGAGCTACCAGGACGTCTTTGTGTACTCGGACCAAGGGTGCTGAGATAGTCAAAGAAGAAACATCATCTAAGAAGAGGGTTCAGCCGGTTCTAAGTCAGTCTGCACCAAAGAAAAAGACCTAGAGAGAGCCAGAAGGGTCAAAGCCATCCCGCTCAGCTCGTTGTGTCGCACCAATTGATGTCTCACTTGGTCACATCAGTGTGCCTCAGGGACACTCGAGCCAGAGGGTTGTCAACAAGGCACTATACCAGATCACCTCYGTTCTGCATCAGYTGGYTRGGATAGTTCAGGAGGTGCACCAAGCCAATCAATGTGAGTCTCCGTGATCTTTTCTCATTCTGCTTTTGCACTAATGATTGTGTTTTTAACTTGTGTGCTCCCAAGCAGGGGGAGAAAGTGATGATGAGAGTGGCTAAGTAGATCATGGTTCATGGGGGAGCATGGGGGCTATGTTTTTTTTTGGTGTTATGGGGGAGGTTGCTTTTGGTGTTATGTTTTTTTTACTCCTCGTTCCAAACTCTAGTACTTTATTTGTGTTTGTGTTCATGCTTGTAATAACGTTTACAAGTTTATTTCGTATGGATGAGTTGGAATYTGTTTGTGCTTGGTGCTGGTTGTCTCTGTGTTTGTGTTGAGTTTGTATTGCAGTTACTTGGGAGACACACAAAGCTAAAAAGGGGGAGATTGAAGATGCAGTGGCTGTAGCAGGAACCTGTAGCAGCACAAGATGAGAGAACTTCAGGAGAAGGGCGAACAGGCTGGTGGGCTTTAAGCGTGATGGGCTGTTGGAGTGAGTCGGTCCAAGCAAGGAAGGGCGTGACTTGCACTCAAGGAAGGCTGGAGGATATCTTTGGAGAAGATTTACTCAARCTTGAARGTTTCYTTATTCTTAGGAGAAGATAARGAAAKTGTATCTACYYATGAAGATTTGAAGAAATAGTGAATCTTGCATGGAGTAGAGGCCAAGGCTATGGCAAGCTGTAGGCCATTTAGTATATATAGGTTGGGGTTAACTCGAGGGAAGGGTTAACACAACAAGAGCAATTCTTAGTAAAGGGATAAGGGTTTCAAATAAAAAAGGAAATCTTGTATCAAGGGCTAAGGGGTAAAGAGAGGTTCACGATATCAAGTGTGATTCGTGAACAGGGTAGACTAGGATTGGGTGAAAGCAATACGTGTAAGTATTCAAGTCATCAATACTAGTAAACTTGTTTTGAGAAAACTCATGTGTTGTGTTCTGTTTCTACATCAGTATTATAATCTCTGTAGTAGTAGTTGTTACGTTTTCAAAATCGATCGCCATCGTCCTCGAAAAAACTTTCAAGCATTTGTCTCCAATTTGGTCAGATTCTGGACTGGTCTTTTTCGTTGATGG